GGAGGCCCAGCGTCAGGTGACCCAGCAGGAGGCAGAGAAGCTGGCAGGGGCCTTCGGGATGCGCTACGTGGAGACATCGGCACGAGAAGCTATCAATGTGGAGAAGGTGTGGATGACATTTAAACCATTTTTTCAACACCTAAACGTTTGACTGGCATGTTAATCAAGAGAAATATGGAGCTTCCAAGTTCATTTTTTTAACAGTTGTCATGGAGATGGTTTAGTTGTTAACATGTGGCCTAAGTATGAAATTTATGCTATCAGTTCCCTAAACTGATGTAAACTAAAAGGTTCTTTCTGTAACATATACTTTGAAACACATGCAAGGGACTGTACAAAAATGATTGTGGAGCGTTACGTATTATAATTTTTTTTGCGCCCTAACCTGGACCAAGACAAGCAGAGCAACACTCTCCCTGCAATATCTCAATGTAATATAACACCAAGATGGCGCACTAGAAGATGAATTAGCAATTGTCAAGAGTGATGTTTACTGTTAATGAGAATATTCAAGGAATTGTTTGCTTTTAAGTCACCTTTTCATGACGTTTTCACACAGTTTACTATAAAGTAATTTAACTTCCTGTTAAGATTCAGAATAAAATGTTCCTATTCCCTTTTGCCAAATTATTTTTTAAAGCCTACCAGTCATTTTAAATGAGTTATGATCCTTCACAGTCTGGTTATGATTTTGTTTCTTTTTTATAAGGCGTTTGTGGATCTGACGAGGGACATCTTTGAGCTGGTACGGAGCGGGGACATCAAGATCCAGGACGGCTGGGAGGGCGTCAAGAGCGGATTCGTGCCCAACACCGTCCACTCTTCCGAGGAGGTCGCCAAGGGCAGCCGGCAATGCTTGTGCTGATTCAACCTGGCTGCACAACGTTGGGTGACAGGTGGTAATACCTGAGTGGACTCCATCCGCAGGAGATCTCACTCACTTTGGCTCCACTACATGGCCACTTACTTGGGACTTATGATATTTCCCCCCTTTACTTCTATATACTGTGTAAGACAGTCTTTTATCTTTCAGGTGCCTGTTTATGGCTCCAAACTTAAGACACTCTGTTGATGTTCCTAACAGGCATAGAAGCACAAGAAGTATCTTAACCCCATTCACTGTTCTGTGTGCATGTGACTGTAATAATCCTGCTGTCTTTGCAGCTTTTACCAACACTTCAGCTTTACTGCACTTTTGGCCTTTCCTGATGTGTACAGTTATACTCCAGCGACCAGTTATGTTGTTGGCGAACATCTCTTAAACACTGGTACTGTCAGTGTAGTGTGTCTTATGCTCATGTTAATTTAAATCTAAATCAGTGTTGCCAGGACTGAGTCTCCTCCTTTTCATGCATAAATATATTGCAACGTGTATCCGGTGAGAGAGATGAGACGGAAAGAGATCTTCACTGATTGTACTGCACTACAAATCCAAGTGGCTTATCACATAAAGAGAGTGGAGGATGATGGAAGTGAACTCCAAAGTGAACCAAAGTTTCAGATACTGACTCTGTCGTGTTTGTTTGTCTGACGGTGAACTGCTGACGACTGGAGAGAGAGTTTGCACTGTGAAAATGTTCAATGGTTGACCAATGATTGCTGTAGCTGCTTACTGATAGCCATTATAACTTAATCATAGCAAGGATTTCTATCAATATGGTAAACACCTAGTTCATGTTTACTACTCTCTGTTGGTTTCCTGCTGAGAACAGTTAAGATATTAAAGCATTTTGTATGGAAGCCCAAAGTGTTCAATATTAAATAATATTTAAAAAAAAAACACATTTTGAAAGAAATAATAATATGAATAAATTGTGTTAAATACATACTGTAAATGAACCAACAATTTGTAAAATAATTGAAGAAATTATTCAAACTAATCTCATCATTATGAAATATTACTTAATCAGTCTTGTTTTCTCGTAATTTTATTTTATTGGAGTTCATTTTTATTTGATTTTAGTCATTTTTATTTCAAAAGGTCCCTTTTCAAACGTCTGTTTTTAAATCTTAATGTCACTTTACATGATGGCACATTTTATTTCATGTCACTTTTCATGACAGTGGTGTCACCGGCCATGTGACTTTTAGCCAATCACGTACTCACCTGCCTCTATTAGGCCATCTCAACAACTGCTAACAGAATTAGCCAGTTAGCTTGAGCAACAACAATGTAGAAGTAATCCTGAATCAGCCGTCTCGCTGCTGCTACTGAGTCAGTGTATGTTAGGGCTGAACAGATTTTGTTTAGAAAAAAAGAATACCAAATTAGCATCACCGTCACAGAGTTGTGTGTCTTTCTCTGAGGAGCTAACTGGCTACATTTGATAGCATTGTTGAGCCAAGAGAGGCCGGTGACACCACTGACATTGAACATTACACTCTGAAATAAACTAACTGACTAAGAAATGCACAATTATTTATACATTCATACAATTTATAAGTTTTATGCAATTTATTCATGTAATAATTTATTTCATAATTACTTGTGTATTTATTAAATATTGAACACTTTCAGGCTCCAGACTTTTGGAAAACTGATTTTATGAGTTTGTGACACCTTCAGGTCAAAATCTCTTCTCACGCTTATGCCTCCATTTATAGATTCAATCATATCCATATTTATAATCAATGCATGCCTCCAGTTTAACTCAAATTTTCCAAAGAAAGAAAAAATTTTTTTTATTTTTGATAAACTGTAAAAAGCCACTTCACCTGGAAACTCATCAGGAAGAGCAGAATTAAAAAGTGAATAATTTTACTTGTTACTTGTGACATTGTATCTCGTGCAGTGACAAAAATAAATGTGAAACACTTAAAGTGAACAAATTAGGATCATTTAAACCATGCTACAAGACTTCAGGTCATTCAACAGTATAGAAAGAAAGAACGGCAAGTGAGTTAATTTATTTAAACTGTGCAGTGGAAGTGTCTCTTTCGAGTGCCTTTTGGAGGAAAGAAGCCTAAAGAAACACAATCAACTTCCTGTTCCAAATGTGTGTTTATCCTGTGAATATTAAAATCTAAACTGTAAGGTGGTGGGAAACAACATTGGTATCGCATTATACAACCTGTAAATAATTTATTTGAAACCAAACCCTGACAAAGTTGACTGTTTGATGTTGTTGTGACTCTGGGTTTATCATAGCACAAGTGTCATCAATAATAAATGCCTGGAGACATTAATAAAGATTTGCCTTGTGCAAAGATTGGAGGTATGCTGCTCTTTGTGCCATTAAAGTGACAGACTGCTGGGTAACAGGCAGTAATGGGTCAGAGCTGCAATGTTAACGTGGACAGATTGACGTAATGCTGTGTGTGACCACTAGAGAGCAGTCTTAGAGTGTGGGGAAGGGAAGTATTGAGTACATTTGTTCAAGGTGGGGCAGAGAGGCACAGCAACAGCAATAATAATAATAATAATAATAATAATAGTAATACAAATGATAATAAGGATGATACTTAACTTGAGTATTTTCATTTAATGCAACTTTATACTTCTACTACACTACATTTCAGAGACAAATATTGTACTTTTGACTACAATTATTGTACAACTTTTGTAATTTACTTGTAAAATAAAACTACCCAACAACAGTATTTACAATTAAAGCTGAAACAATTAGTTAATTAAACTGATTAGTCAATTGACAAAAAAAAAAGAAAGAAATTGGCAACTCACATATTTTCACACTTTCACGTAAATGCTTTGTAAGTAACACTTTAAATGTGGCATATTTTGTGTGTGGTTTTACTTATTAATGACCTTCCTCAACCTGTGGTCATTAAATTTGTGGCACCTAGATGGCTCACCTGGTGGAGCTGGTGCCCCGTGTTCAAAGGCTAAGTCCTTGTATTCAAGTCCGACCCGTGGCCCTTTGCTGCATGTCATCCCCCCTCTCTCCATCCCATTTCATCTTCAGCTGTCGTAATGTCCTGTACCTAATAAAGCCCCCCAATAATAATAATAATAATGAGAAAACTTTCTGTTGCAAGTTGCTTTGGCTCAGTTGTCAAATCACAATGCACCCAACCATCAAACACTACAGTTACTGAATATAGACCAGCCAGACATTAGAGAGATACCTCTTATACAGGAGGGGAGGCATGTAAATGTATGGAAACGAGTGTATAGTCATAGACAGCAGTACATTTTCATTTCTAATTAATTTCATGAATGTATTTTTACTTTACTTTTTTGGGTAATTTTTGTCAATTTTGTTTTCCTTTACTGTTACAGACAGCATAAGGTACTTACAGTCAATAGAGACAAGAAACTGGTGTTTGTAGGACATGTGTTTATTCAGTTAGCTACAAAGTATAATTGACTTTATTATAGGGTTACTGTATGTCTCAATGAGAAATGGCATAAATAAACTAAATTTTACTTTAGTTCCTCAGGTATGTCTTGACTCAATGAGAGAGACGTGTCATTGTGGAAGAAACGGTTATTTACTCTTGAAGTACTCGGAGTGATAGTTGACCTTTGCTACTCAAATATATTGCTGTAAATGTAAACGGAGTAAAGTTGTTATAGGTCTGTTGCTGCTGGATTTGTTCTCAAAAGTTTTAAAGTGACTAAATAAAGGGCAGAGTCATATTCAAATTAATATACAAGTCATTGTTGAGAGTGAGTCACTGGTGATCCAGTTAAAACCAGTAAAGGCTTCAACAGCCTCCAACATACAGCTCATGCTTAGAGAATTTAAAAAAAAGGAAGAGGTCTATCTGCCATAAGCAAGAATGATTGTTTTATTTAAAAAAACAAAAACAAAAAAACAATACAGCTTGTTTTATACATGACAGCCATATGTACAGGATATAAAACACAAAAATAGATCCATTGCTGTTAATGAGATGATCACAGGGGAGATGATGGTATTGATTTTTGAAAGGCACAAGGGCTGGGTATGAGTGAGTCACAGCCACATCACATAACCTTTTTAATGATAAATGAATCCTTCGCAGGGGTCTGTCACTGGGAGGCCAGCAAGAAAACATACGAGTTTTACATTCAAATCTACTCTTGTTTTACCGGCCCGATGCCTTTCTCAGGCAGAAGGATGTTTCTTTAGGCACCAGATTATTGATTCACAACATCTAGAATCCAGATCTATCCTTACTGCACCCTCCCGTCTCCACATACGTTTTGTGGAGGCATGTCAAGTTCTGACATGTGTTAAGTGGGGAGCATTTTCTGAGCAAAAAGAGTATTAATGGGATATCTTTTAAACATATACAGAAATGCTTTAATACTGCATCCACCAGGACCCCTGAAAGGGGGACTAAGATTGGTAGAGTTTAGATTTCAGCAGCATCAAGTGTCAAATGAATTGCCTTCAAATGTAAATTACAAAAAAAACATCTCTTACCAAATTACACTTACGGTCATATTTTAAAGACAATTATTTGTATAATTTACAGCATTATACAAATGTAAAGATAAAGTTTTAAACAAATACTGTACATTTTACAGTAAGCACTTTACTAGAACAGAAAAGATGCTATTACCAATAAGTTATATTGACTACAGAGGATTGGGTTAAAATCATTTTAAATTACACAATTTAGAAACCAACTTTTAGTGGTCAGTCGTAGTTCTGGAAAGCTGTTTCCAAAAACACGTTCATTTGGTGAGGAAAGATCACAAAATATCACAACTAAATCATTTGGTGCTGCAGACAAAAGGGGAAAAACAAACAAAAGACACTGTGACCAAACATATCAGCACACTAAAAACTGTACATTTAACGGTTAAAATACATCTACAAAGCATAATAATTAATTGAGTGAGACTGATATGAAAAGGCATAAAGAAAGCTATCCCAAAACAAACACTATAAACATTTAAATATTAACAGTTCTATCAGAAAAAAAGCAAATAAAGTTGTAAAAATACAATAAAGTGGAATAAAATACAAGTGATGGGGGCTCAACAGACAGAGCTGCCAAGAACAAGTTTCAATTGAAACTAAAGAAGAACATTTGTGAAAACATCAGTCTTTTCACAAGAAAGTAAAAATAAAAAAGGTGATGGAACTATTTTAGTGGTAATGAAAGACGGACCCTTGTTCAGAAACAGACCCCCTGCTCCCAGACACCAAAGTGGGTCATACAGAGGCAGACAGATGTTAATTAGTAATTCATGGTGTATTGACTGAACCTTTAAAAAGCCCTATTCCATAGCCTGTCAGAAGATAATTAGATGCAATTAATGAACTCAATGTTAAGTGCATATCTGTCAACGTCCTTAGATCTGCAAAACTATTTGGGCAAAGCATTTTAAGCAAACACTGTGTAATTAATGTAATTAAATCTGGAATTAGCTATTAACTAAATGGATTATGTAAAACCCATACAGATATTTCTATGCACTCTTGTATCCAATGTGTATCTTGTATCCAAATATGAGCTTAGATAAGATTAAATCTTAAAACTCTTGCTTTATTTTGCTGTTTTTACTTCACTTTGGATCGAAAAGTAGTTTCTCGTCCCTTTGGCTTTTAAAGGCCTTTTCCAAACTATTTCACTTTTTTGGTTCAGGTTGAAAGGAAGGCCACAAAATGCCTGCAAATACCATTTCAACACAGTCTATATGCGAGACAGAAAGCGCAGCATGGATCATTTACGATAAGCAACAAATGTTGTTGCCAGTTGCTGTGTACATACTGTATGGGTGTCTGAGAGCAGGGGGGCACAAAGGCGATAGTGTGTTAAAAACGCATCCAATCTGTAAAGCATGAAGTTCGGCCTCAGACACTGAACCGCGCAGTGTAGATGACATCGACCGTGTGCTACTGACCTAACTCGCCCTGACTCGCACTGTAAACTGCACAGCTTCCGTGCTACCCTGTTTACACACAAACAAACAGGCTGGTGCAATCAACAAAGAACAATAAACTAGACAGCTTAACCTTATTAAAAAAAACTATCCAAGTTTCTTATACAGCTGAATGTCTAGCTCACTGATCCAAGTGTCTTGAAGATCGTAAACTCACTGGCTCAAGTCATGTATATATATATATATATATTTTCTTTTTAGTGAAGTACATAGTAGTTCTCATTCACCCCTGGTGGCCAGGTGACTCCACACACAGCTACAGCGCATTGACAACAGAGAGAAAGCAGAGACGAAAACAGTTTAAGTGTAACATTCTTCCAGTTAACAGCTTTAGAGAACGGTACCGCAGTACTCTTTGTTAGTTAGGTCCATTCAAAGCGTGTGTTATAGGTAGATCTCCAGAGGGCTAAGGCTAAGAACAAACAGACAGATTAAAACAGACACATGGGCCAGAATGTGGCTCTGTCACAGTGTCTAGCCATCAAGTTAATCAGCCTCCAAGTCAGAGGTAAGATGTGTGTGGCGTTTTCTTGCCTCTTCTTCCTTTAAACCCGGGGCCGTGTTTCAGGCCGCCTACACTTCAGCATTTGGCCGCCAGTTCAACCAGACTGCCAAAATGAGTGAAGATGCTCTGCAACACTACCCAGGGTCCACGGCAGTCTGTATCAGGGACTGCCCGTTTCCACGTCGCTGTCGCCAAGAGCGCCCTTGTAAATCGGGCTCTTGTTCTGCAGCGCAGGCTCGTATTTGCGAGGGGATGACCTGTTGGCGGCTTCGCTGCTGTTCTTAATACCATAGAAAAAGTAGATGGCAAAACCTGAGGGGAGGAGAGAAGCAACAGGAAGTTACAAAACAGTTACATGATGTGTAGAACTAGAAATGGACAACACAATGACACACACAATTAAAGTGTTGGAACGTACCAATAGCCATCCAGACAGCGAAGCGGATCCATGTACCCATGTCCAGCTGCATCATGAGGTAGATGTTGACGAAAACACTGAACAGGGGCAACCAGGGAAGCAGAGGGACCTTGGGAGGAGAGCGAAGTTGAGAAAAGTCAGCAGAAAGTCAGCAGAATCACATTTTAAAATCAACCTGGTTCTGCCTGAGGTAGCAGTAAGTTCACATTGTTCCCCGATTCCCTCAATCAGGGAACAATGTGTGCCAAAGTAAATAAGAAGTAGGCAACGTATTCTCCCAAACTACCAAGACAGTAACAACAGTGTAATCATGCCAAAACACTCTAGGCTAAAGACTAAACAAATGAGTGTTACCTTGAAGGTGAGCGCCTCTTTGCTCTCGGGCTGCCTCCAGATGATGACGACACAGACGCCACAGAGCAGAGTCAGGATGACACAGGTCACCACGACGCCTGGGTGCCCGGCCAGCAGTTTTGAGTGACAGTTTGCCAGGGTAATGCACAGCATAGTAATAAGAACCGCTGCAGAGAGAGAAGAGGGAGAGAAAGTTGCTTTAATGGTGCAAATTACCGTCTTATTCACCGTTTTAAAATACATTTATATACCGACAACAAGCTCCATCTCTGGCTTCCTCCCAGACACACTTACAAATAATAGCAGTGGTGACGTAGACAATGTTCCCGGAGATATTTGTTGGGTTCTTTCCACTTGGGCAGAAGAGCAGCTTGGCGGTGAAGGTCTCTCGGAGCGGCCTCTCGTCCGTCTCCATGCCGTACTCGTCACCGCTGTCCCCTCCGCTTACGGGCACCTTCTCCCCTCCCACCAGCTCCACCAGCTTCTCTGTCTGGCTGGATGAATTCAGGGTGCCTGGCTGGTACCTGTGGGCGAAGGGAAGTGTGTCAGAGTGAAAAAGCTAGAAAAGTGCTGAGCACAAACCTACATTCCTCTGTTCCTTAAGTCCAAAGCAAATATGAGAATGAGACCACAGTATGAAAAGCTTCTGTGGAATTTGTGCTTTGGCTATACACACATCATGATCTGACTATGCTTTTACACCGGCTTCATTGGTACCTGGCTATGATATATTAGTAGAGCAGCTGCTAGAGTGATGAATACAACTTCAGAAGACTTTGAGACTGTGCTAGAAGAAAATAAAAAAGGTGCTCACCTGAGGATGAGGACACAGATGGCCACTAAAGAGTACGCCAACAAAGTTCCAATGGACATGAGGTCAACGAGAGCGGCCAGGTCAAACAGGAAGGCCATGAGAGCTGTAAGGAGAAGTAACAGAAACATTGTACACTGTAACCAATGGCTGCAAGACAGAAATAGGAAAAAAGAAATGCTTCTGTGGCTGAGGCTGCCCACAACGTAGGCAAAGTCAAAGTCAGCATTAATGTCTATTACTTCACATGCACCAGACATACAGAGGAATCGAGAGGACGTTTCTCACTCTCCAACGGTGAAACAGATAAAGTGCACAGACACAACAGATAAAACAAGACATTTCCTGATGTTAAAAAAGTAAACATACAATGCAATTTCGCAACAGATAAGACATTTACTAATGCTAAGAGATAGACAATAAAATATAAAATATACAATAATATAAAATATACAGTAGTTGTACAGCAGTTATGGTAGTGGTTAAGTGTTATTGATCCTTAACTGACAAGCAGTCAGACAGGCGGATGGATACAGCTGAGGGGGGACACAGAGCTGTGACTTTGGCAAACTAGAAGCAACAACTGGACAGTCAAAGAGCTGCTGGCCTGAAGCAAGGAACAACAATGACAAGAAAGACACACAGATAAAGAAAATATACAAATAGACAGTGAGCTTACCTGCAACAATGCCAGAGGCGATGGTAGCCAGAAGAGGCGTCTTTGTGCGAGCATTCATCCTGGACAGAATACGGAACAGCAGCCCATCCTCTGCCATAGCGTAGATAACACGGGGCATGGGGAACATAGAGCCTAGGAGACTGGGAGAAGATCAACAGTTAGTATTTGACATCAAAAGCTTTACGGTGTCATGTAAAGAAACACATCGTGGCAAGAAAACTATTTTCTCCCTTACCTGGTGGACAGAGCGCAGAGAGAACCCGCAGCCACGATGTATCTAGCAGGAGCCCAGCCGACGTAGGTGAAGGCCTCAGGCAGAGGACTCTGGGTGTTCAGCTGGTAGTACGGCATCATCAGGGTAAGAGCGGCAGAAACGCCGAAGTAGGCAAAAAAACAGATGAGCAGCGAGGCCACAATGCCAATAGGTATGGACCGCATGGGGTTCTTTGCTTCTTCACCTGAGGACAACAGCAACAGCAACAATTAAACAAATAGAGGACTTGTTGATAAGTGTTCACACGAGACATAAGAACAAACCACAATAACCATAAAAAGACAGATATAAATGTAGCTGCATCAGCCCGGCACTATATGTTGGAAAGATCTCAAATATAGTTTGGTAATACTGAAGGAAAACCCATCATCAAAGGTACTTTCACCCTTGTGTGTGCTATCCACATGTGCAGATGTGAGCATGGGGGTAGTGAGTAAACAAGTTCTCATGTCACAAAAAAGGAGACAAAATTGCACACCGACGCAAGAAAGACTTTGTGCAAACATTGCCAGTAAGAAGCTTGTCAAACAAGAAACTTAGTAACATACAGTAAATAAATAAACCTCTGGACAAGCAAAAAAAAAAAAACATCCTGTAAATCCCTTCTCTACATTGATTAACATGGATACGGTAAAACACTCACTTGTTGTGGCAATGCAGTCAAAGCCCACAAAGGCATAGAAGCAGGTGGCAGCACCAGACAGGACTCCAGTGAGGCCAAACGGAGCGAAACCACCCACGCCAAACTCCTCTTCAGTTCTGAGTGGTAGAAGAGACACATCGTTTAACAAACTCAGGTAAAACTATACTCCTACTAACTTTAATGTGCGGACAAAGGTGGGCAAATACTGACTTTAACAGCCTGCTGCTGTTGGTTTCATTTATGAATCTGGCGTAGTCTTCCTGTGTCAGGCTCCAGTTGGCTGTGTCCCCCTTAACAAAGCCAGAGATTATAACGAAGCCCAGAACCACCAGATTGATGCCTGTGAAGATCTTATTCACGAGTGCCGACTCGCTCACACCAAAGGCCAGAAGGCCTGAAGGCACAAAGTACAGGAAGGGAGGAGAGGGATGTAACAGAGAGAAGAGAGAATTAATATTTCAGCATCAATAACAACATGTCCTGCTATGTGGGTGGATGTGTTCATACTTCATTACTTCCAACAAGCCATCCGTCAGCGACACCAATCCACCAATTATTTCTTTCTAACACTGCTACCGTCATGCCAAAGTAGCTGCAATATTAGTGTGACAACTGTTCTGGATGTTATGCAATGTTTTAATGCAATGCTAACAATGGCCAGTGAGAATGAGTGGTGCTCAATCCTTTTGGCTTGTGACCAATTTAATTTAAGTCTTTCTCAGACTGTTTCATTCAAAATTTGAGTGGAAAACTTCACAGTATCTCACAATAATAAAAACAAAGACTACAGAAAATAAATAAGAAGTGAATTTAATTTTCTCTTTCCCTAATCATCTTGCAATCTCTCATTTATCCTGTAGACCTCAGAAAACTCACCTGTAAGCAGCAGGATGAGGATGAGAGCGAACAGATCGGGGTACTCTGCCAGCACCCCCCCTGGCACCTTCATTGACATGAAGGCTCTAAAGAAGCCAGAGATCTTTTGCTCAACCAGGTTATCAAAGGTGGAGCTCCATGCCCTGGCCACACTGGCCGTACCTAAAAGAGAACACAGAAACGTATGTAAGTCAACAATGTGGTAATGACTTATCCTTTCCATGGTTCTTTATATTCTTACTTGGTTAAAAATGAATTTAACTGGTCAGTAAAACTGCAACAACGCCACCGAAACTACAGAGAACTCACCTATCACATAGGAGAGGATGAGGTTCCAACCCGTGATGAAGGCCCAGATTTCTCCAACTGTCACGTAGCTGTAGAGGTACGCAGATCCCGTTTTGGGGACGCGGGCGCCAAATTCAGCATAGCACAGGCCGGCCAACATGGAGGACAGAGCGGCGATGAGGAAGCAGAGTACAATAGCGGGTCCTGCCTTCTCCCGGGCGACCTCGCCAGCGAGGACGTAGACGCCGGCGCCGAGCGTGGAGCCCACCCCCAAGGCGATGAGGTCCAGGGTGGACAGGCAGCGGGCAAACTGGGACTCTTCACCTAAGCAGTTTAATGCCCGGCGACGAAGCAGGGTTTTGCCAAAGTTGGACAGCTTGCTGGCCATATTTGCTGTGAGTGTGTGTGGGCGCTGGACCAGGCTATGTGTTTTAAATCCTTCTAGTGTGGGTGCGTGTGATTGACACAGCTTAAGCAGAACACGTGTGGCTGGACTGAAAGTAGCAGTGCTTTGAGCAGATGGGTAAGTAAAACAAGTTCTTGTTTACTATAGGTCCTTCAGTGCAGGTGTGTAGGCTTAGGCGCTCGAGCAAATGAAACAGGAAGCAGCAGCTCTGTGGTCGCAGTGTTTTGCAGCGGCAGATTAGGACCTGTGAGAAAACACAAGAAAACAAGCGCTCAAAATCAGAGACGTATTCAGTAACTGCCGACGCTTACATGTCACACAGCCGTATTTGGATTATTGCATCCTTTCTTTTCAAGTGTGAACATTTTCTAGGAAAGAGAGAAACCACAACTCGACGTGTTCGATCCCACCGGGGCTGTACAAATCATCACGACAACTTTGTAGCACAGGCTGGTAAAGGTTAGTTTCATCATCTGATATCACACGCAATGTCTCAGCGTGGTTTAGATGTCCTGGAATATTCTTCTCCTCAGCAAAAAGGAGACACAAGAGACAATAAAAAGACACATTTCACTACATGAGTACGCAGAACCTGTTACGCAACTTCCAGGAATTCATACCTCCACCTCTTACCACACAGTAACACATCACGAGACGCAGTGGGGCACGGAGAGACCTCATGAAGACAAAAGAAAACCCAGCACAGTCCTACTAAGCATAAATCCAATCTTAATTCTGCCTTAACAAATAAACCTGCCTGAGAACACACCCCTATAAAAACAGAAGAACACCTAGCTTAATTCCCCGCCACTCCCTCGCTGCGAGGAAATGCACTCTACTACCTGTGTTATGTTTTTTCAGCAGAGAGAAGCCGACAGGGAGAAGCCTGGGAAAGCCAGAGGCTGTGAAGGGACCACACGGTTCTGCAAGCTAATATCAACACGGGAGAGGAGGACAGCGTGAACCAGCAGCTCGATAAGGAGAAACCAGCTGCACTGGGGGAACGCTGATCAAACTCACCTCGTCGATTCAAAGAACTTCTTTAAAACAAATACTATACAAAAGCACAATACAATAATAACGTGCACACGCAAATGAAAGGCTATCATCAGATCTCTAGATCTACATTTGCCACAACTGAGCGAGTGAGTGCAATAAAAACTTTAACAAACTTGTGGCAGTGTGATACTTGTTACTGTCCATTATTGTCCCATCCGTTATCGACAATTTGAATAAAAACACAGACAAACCCGCCCTCAAGGACAATGGCAACACACTATCAGCAGCAGGCTTGTCAACTTGAATCCTTATCAGTGATAAGGATGAATCCATTTTCTGTAAAAACGCATACACACGCATACAGCCGGGAACCGTTCATAACAGGTCATGGACACTTGGGCACATCTGACCAGGAAAGATACAACGGTTTTCTGTTTGTCTTTGGAGGCAGTCAGGAGCCTGGATAGATCAACACAGGGGTCAGGGACAGGTCTGACGTAAATCGCTGGTTGAAAGTGACTGACACTATATATACACACGTGTGTGTATCACTGTCAGATAATACTGCAAAGACACACGCCTCATAGAAAAATGTCGGGCGTTTTTTTTCTTCACTTCAAGCTCTGAGAAGGGAAGGGTGCTTTAAACAGGTTGGGCTGCTGGGTTTACTCCACCTTAATGAAATGCCACACCAGTATCAGGACGACATGCAGCTGCTCCTGCAGTCACTTGCTTACATAAACTCATGTGAAAGTACTACAGATTATATATTTACTATAATAAAATGGGTTAATTACTACACAATACTTCTCTAAATCATAACTTTGCAGAGTAAACATTTTTTCCTGACAGAAAGCAGGAGCCCCAACTCATCCGGCTGTATGCCATTAACTCTTTTTTGAAGGGATGTGTGATTTCAAAGGGTTAAAAATGTCACTAAATAATGAAGTTGATTGCATTAATTTTGTACTGTTCATGAAGGACCACAGCACAGCGCGGAGACCAAAGCTCTGCACATCAAGTGTGTGTGAAGGAGTGAGCGTGAATGTCTGTCGTTAACAACTCAACATTTGTCTTGGTTAAAATGGCTGAGTGCACCGTGTTATCGTACCATAGTTTTCACTTTCATTACAGTATGAGACGTCTGAGCTGATTACTGAGCAAAGTCATCCTTGTAATGTTGGATGGGTGAGGAAAGTTCTTATCTGCAAATACTACACTATTTTTATGATTACTACAACTGCTACTGCCGTTAGTAACCATTTACAATTTTACATATGATTGATGAAGGGGAAATAAACACATGGCTCTGGTTTCTTTAGCAACTTAAAGACTGAAGTCCACTCTGGAAGACTGAAGACATGCTGGTGGTTATTCTACCGATTTGGAGCAATTTACAGACAAAAGCCCCCGAACACGAGGCTTGAAGTCAGGATTCAGGGGACAGAGCAGCAGCAGTCGAAGGCAACGTTGCACCGAATCTGAAGCTGCACTGATACCTGATTCCTCGGTGTCACTGCTGAGAAGGCGGATGGACGTTTCAGGCCTATCAGTCACTTCACCGGTCAAGCAGCAAAAAGAAGTGAAACACTAACCCGACAACACAGACCGGGCCGACTGTGTGGCACAGTGTGGACGTGTGAGTGTGGTAGTTATTTTCGGTGGCGTGCCTCGCCTCCAGTTAAAGAGTTCTGAAAAGTACTGCTTCAGGCTTTTCTACACTTCACTAAACTTAATGAAACGCAGATTTTGCTTTTAATCTCTATTAAAACTTTTGCACACTTTGGGGAAAGTTTTGAAGAATTCAATTTCATCCCTGCTCAGGAGGTGACACCGATTCAAGTTGCAGGTACTGTCAGACAGCGGGGACAAAATGGAGGTGGAATGAGGTGCGAGACACAAAAAGGTATAATATAGCATCGTTTATCAAAAGTGGGGCTACACCTCCGTTTTTGTTCTTTTTACAAAATTAGAATAATCAAAGACTAAAACATGTTTATCTGAGCAATAACACAAGCTGGTCAGACAATGATTTTACCTATTGGTTGAGGTCAGTATGTGAGACAAGGAGGAGAAAAGGTCTTTCAGCTGTAGATTATGTTGTGGTGTAATTCTGGTCTGTTCTTTTTCACAACACACAGGATACAAGCTCTCACAGTGTTTCAGCACAATGACCATATTCTATTAATACGATTAAAATAACATAACCTATTTATCAAAGCGCTTCTCGTCGTACCGTTTCAAAAGAGAATATCCTGCCTAGTACAGTTAAGTGTTGGGAGAAAAAAGAAACACTGTCAAACAATGAAATTAAAACAACAGCGAGCACCCAATAATAAACATCCAGCCCTCTGAAGGCCGATGGGAAACTGGTACACGGTGGATGTGCTCCCACTCCCCACTTGGTGTGACATTCCAGTAGCATTTTCCACTCGCACACCAGGAACTGAGATCTGAGACTATCGATGTTGTGTCAATAAACATTTATTACTAAACTATGTGCCCAGCTGGCTGTGATCTCCTCAGGGGGTTCGCCCAACACCGCACACACTTTAAAGCGCTCAACTGAAACCAGCTCGCTGTAAAAGCACACAGAGAACTTCACATTTGGACAATTTAATTCCAGACTCAGAGTGAATCCAGACAGAAATTTCAAGAATATTTCATCTGCAGATCAAGTTGTTGGCACGGTTTCCCACTAATGCCGAGCTGAATGCTGCATGTCCTCACTTGAAGGGTGGTCTCATTAAAGCGACCGCCTCTACCCCGCTCGATGCCTCTGTCACGTCAGCTAGTGTGCTAATCTGTTCCTTGTGGTTTTCACGAGGGTGCCCGTTTACGTAAGCGGGGCAGATTTATGCCAGTTTGCACAGGGGTGTGGCTCACAACTGTGCCGACTGCAAGCTTCGCTACGCAACAGCCCACACACACCCACACGACGAGACCAGTGTGCTACCTGCAGCCATTTTCTGTGGTGACTGTGAATGGGAAGCAAATGTTACATGTAGACAAGGGAGACACGTTGATTTCTGTTTGCTTTCTTCAGCAACGACACAACCAGAGTTTATTCTAATATTTGTTTTAACATGGAGCTCTTTATCTTGGAGGACTGTAGCCAGACGTGTGGCCAACAGGGCTCTGGTTACAACAGGCTTCGGGGATAATGGCCCTGTTACTTGACTTAGCACTGCTGCAACTGTTGCTGCGGACTCTAAGAGGATTATTTGGAGAAGTAACAAACCTGCTAACCTTATTATGGCTTGTTGCTGTTCCTCCTTCCACTCATATAAACAACGCATGGCTTTGTTTTGACTGCCACCGTTGACGACAACAGTGAAACTCTATGGTTATATGACCAAGCCAGCGAGGTATTTTCTGCTATATTGTTGTAACATTGTCATCTGAGATGTATGTAATTATCAATTGCAAAATGGGAAATGTGCCTTTAGCTACAAAGTTTGCTTTGAAGTAAAAAAAAAAAAAAAAAGTGATGCAGAATTTTGGAATAATTAATCCTGAGAAT